CACCGCAATCACTTCTCCATTCTCCTCTCAGGATCTTGGGCACGCACACGCGCCCGGCGTGAGTTTAAGCCACCAGGTCCGGGATGCAAACCGCGGTCGGCTACGTGGGAGTCCAGCGACATAGCCATTGTGCCATCTGCTGGTCCCTATTTTTATTTTATTTATTTTTTCCATGACCAAAAGAGACAGGGACAGCACCCCCAACACATCATCATGTGACAATACCCCGGCTGTAGCCAGCCCCGGATCACGTGCCCGAGCGCTCCTGGCGTGTTCATGAAGGTCCCGGGTCACAAATCGGGAACTCTCCCATGTGGGTGGGGCTCACAGAGCATCACGTTACTGCTGTGTCACCACCCAGCCCTCCCTGCGGCTTCTCAAGGACCTACGATGCCAGGTGCTGGGACACGCCTGTGAGCGGGACAGGTCCCTGCCCTCCCGGGGCCCCAGCCTGGCGGGCAGTGCTAGGCCCCATCCATGCCCACAGGGTCCTGCTGGCATTTGGGGCTTTGCCCTTTTTCCATCCCTAGTGTCCCCTGTTTGGAGAATGAAGCACCCACAGGGGACAGCTTGGGGTACCTTGGGGTACCATGAGGGTGCCCCTGCATCCCATTGTGACATGATAAAGCCGGTGACTGAGGCAGGGCACCGATGGCAGTCCTGGGAGGCGATCGGGAGAGAGGGGGCAGAGCGGGGTGCCCCAACCTCCATCTCTGTCATCGTGGGAAGCAGAAACTCCGGAGGCGGAGAAACGACTTACATCTGGGGCACCCCCGTCTGGCCAACATGGCTGAAAGCCACACCCCGTATTCTACCTTGAAGAAGCTGTTGTCGTTCCTCGATGGCTTCGTGGCTGTAAGTGTGTCACCCCTCGGCTCCAGGATCCGGCAGCCCTTCCTCCACGGACCGGGGGAGACAGAAATAAGTTGCTCTAAATTGGCATCCGGGTCTGTGGCCCGCAGGGAGGCAGGAGGGTGTGGGGGGGGCCCCCGCCAGCCAGTCGGGAACAGGCGGAGGCTCCGGCCCACCCGGACCGGGAGATCTGGGGTCGGGCACGGCCGAGCTCGGCTGGAAGTCAAAATCTGCAGAGAACCCAGCCGATCCGGGGGGGTCGGGAGGAAGTGGCTATTTTCTTGCTCTTTTATGACTTCATTATTATTTTTTAAGACTTATTTTAACTTTATTTAGTTAATCAAAAATGATTTAATTTAATTTAGTTTTATTTTAATTTGACCAGAAGGGGGCAGAGTAAGAGAGAGAGAGAGAGAAAGTGAGAAAGCAAGCCACCAGGTCCGGGACTCGAACTGTGGTGAGCCATGTGGGAATACAGTGTCCTTAACCACTATTCGACCACCATGCCACCTGCTGGCCCCTATTTATTTAGTTTTAATTTGACCAGAAAGGGGCAGAGTGTGAGAGAGAGAGAGAGAGAGAGAGAAAGTAAGCTGCCAGGTCCGGGACTTGAACCACAGTCAGCCATGTGGGAGTCTAGCACCCTTAACCACCATGCCACCTGCCGGCCCCAACTTTCATTATTTTTGTTGTTGTTGATTTTGTTTTTGCCATAGGGCATGTGTGCTCACCAGGGAGAGACAGAGACAGAGACAGAGAGAGGCAAAATGAGAAACCACCCCCTAGGTGGGATGGCCACACCACAATCCTTTCTCATCCATTCTCCTCCCGGGATCTCGGACATGCACACACACCTGCCTGGAGTGATTTTTCAAGCGGTGGGGTCCGGGCCTCAAACCATGGTCAGCCATGTGAGATCCAGTGCCTTCATCATGACGCCACCTGCTGGCCTAGTACTGTCATTTAAAAAAAATAAGTATTTAATGTTATTTATTATTATTTTTTAAGTTGCTATAGGGCATGTGCACTCACTAGAGAGAGACAGAGAGAAAGGGAATGTGAGAAAGCAAGCTGCCGGGTCTGGGAGTCACACCGTGGTCGGCCATGTGGATTCAGCACCGTCACCCCACGCCACCTGCTGGCCCCAGCCCTGTTACTTCGTGAACACTTTGCCGACTGTATGGGTCGCCGTTTCCTTCCGCCTGTACCGCAGGGCAGCTCTGTTTGTAAGCTAGTAATGTTCCTTTTTCCCGTCTGATCTCTGTTCAACAGGTGTCGGGCATGGTCCTCCTCAGCCTGGGTGTCGGCGTCAGGTACGGAGGGGCCACCCTGACGAGGGTGCTCGGGCTGTCCTCCGCGTACCTCCTGTACTTGAGCCTCCTGTACCTGGTTATGGGCTGCGTCACCATCCTCCTCGGCCTCGCCGGGTGGTACGGAGCGATGAAAGAAAGCAGAGGCACCCTCTTATTCGTAAGTTGGACCAGATCGCAGCCCCCAAAGCTCCCCCCACTACAAGCCCCCATGGGGGGGTGCCCCAGACACCATTCAGGGTCCCCTATTTATTTTTTAAAATTTCATCTTATCTTTTTGTTTTTAAAGAAATAATCATTTGTTTATTTAATTCCATTTGTTATTATACTTAATTAGTATTATTATTTTAATTCGACCAGGGAGAGACAGAGAGAAAGCGAAAGCGAGAAAGCAAGCCACCAGGTCTGGGACTCGAACCAAGATCAGCCATGTGAGAATCCAGTGCCCTTAACCACCACGCTACCTGCTGGCCCCTATTTCATCCTTTTTGTTTTTTAATCCTTTTTTAGTTTTTCTGTTTTTTCTTTCTTCCTTCCTTTCTTCTTTTTTTTAGATTTTTATCATAGGGCTCATGCACTCACCAGAGAGACACAGAGAGGGAAAGTGAGAAATCATCCCTAGGGAATTCGGCTATCCCTTCTGCTCCATTCTCCAATCAGGATTTTTTTTTTTTTTTTTTTTTTTTTTCTATAGGGCGTGTGCCC